TACTGGCAAATGTGCTCATATTTGCATTTGTAAGTGGACTGCGGTTCATTGGACTTTCTTTCTCAGGTAGAAACTTTCTAGATCTCTCATACCTTTAATTTCCACGTAGAGGTATAGATGCAGTGTGTGGTAAGTGAATTCCTCGAACTAATTTTTTTTGCATACGTTTCGCGGTACTAGTTGGGACAGCTAGATTATGTGAGTAATATTCGAATGTAATCTAATATTTGGGAGTTTTTTGTTTTGTTTAGCGAAGTTAAAGCTAGTCTAATTAGCTTCTAAGGAGGTAAGAGAAAATGTCGTTTTAAATTAGCCTCTTTTTTGGTCCTGTTAATTAATCATTTATTTTACCTCTTCTGCAATTAAAGAAGATTTTGACACTGCGAAAAGTTGGAAAAGTTTTTTGGTACCTTTTCCCATCTTATATTTACTGCCGTTGGAGGAAGATGGCTCTGTAATTGCAAATTGTGGGATTTCAATTTCCAGGGCTACATAGAGGAGTACCGCTTAGAACTGAGTTTATTAGATTTACTGTAATTAAACAAAACTGAACGAAGGTTTGAATATTTTAGGGGTTTGCCAAAAGCACATGTGTCCACTTTCGTCAAATTTTAATTTTCTTTTACAATGTTCTTTCCTATTCCAATAGATAGGTATTTAGCCACCCTTGTCCAAAGGTCCAATGCATTTAGGAATGGGATCTTTGGAGTTCGTTGTATTTCTTAAGTAGGTGTCTTCTGAGCCCCATGCCATGCCATTGTCGACTACATCTTTGCCACATGTTAGAAAACCTGATCACATTTAATAATCTCTTCTTGTTTGGCAGACTCGCACTTTTTCGAGCGAAACCGCGTCTTATTGGGGGAGTGCTTCTTGACGTGGGCTGTGGGACTGGCATTCTATCCATATTCGGTGCAAAAGCTGGAGCTAGCCACGTTTATGCTATCGATGCAACATCTAATCTCTGTGAATTGGCTCGTGAAATCATTGCCGAAAATGACCTTTCCTCTCGTATTACTGGTGAGTATAGCTTCACAATTGCTACCACTATTGCCGTACACGATAACACGTAAAATAGCCTTGGAAAAGGGAATTTAATGAGGTGGGAAATCTTAAGAGGGGGGGGGGGAGTGAGGAGGGAGGGGACCGAGATGAAGTAGATAATCGGATGGACCTAATTATCATAAATGGTGCTGTTTACTTTGCGATGCTCTAATATTTGCATTTCATAATTTGGTTACCTAATTCATTTGTGAGTCTATGCCCACGTCATTCAGAGCTTTTTTGTTTGCGAATGCAATCAAGATGCCGCATGCCAAATTTTTATCCGATTTCTTTTAATAAGCTCTGAATCAAACTTTCGTAAATCAGTTTTTTTTCCTTTTTGGTGGGTCAATTTATTAATTATAAACTAAACAATAAGCTTTCTTATTTGAGAAATATTTTCACTGTTGTGAACAAGTTCACTATCTTTTTTGTTCATTTTAGTAGCATAATGGGAAAATAAAGAAAATTGGAAATATTTGCTATGCAAATGGGCTAAAGATTGCGCTTCAATAGGAAACGACGTGTTTAGACTCTTGAATAATTTTGACGATAAAAGTTAGGTCTAATTTTATTGCCTAAAAAATTGTATCGAAGAGTTCCGTTTGGTTAAGTGGACATAAACAAGGTTACTTGATTTTAGTAACAATTTCAATTTATGATTCGATTTATTACCTTGACTTATTGTGGGAGCAAAGAGGAGGGGG